GAAAATGATAACTTCCAAAACATACATACTTCCACTGCCACTTATAGCTAGAATCCACATTGAGAAAGTAGAGGGGCTGGTGAGGGCATAGTTCATACAGAAAGCATCTGCATAGAACAAAGGTGTACCACGAGAAGTGGTACCCAAGTGGGGAAAACCACATTACATCCAGAACAAGTATGCTCTTCACCCATAACTACTGAAAAGTGAAAAGGGTGGAATATTACACAAAGAAGTATGATGGGCCAGCCCCAACCATACAGCTGAGGTTCCATGACTCAGAGGTGGAGCTAAGGGCAGTTGGACCACAAATATATACATATCTTTGTGATAGGATCCCCACCTGTAGCCATGAAATGATGCATTTCAAACTACCAAATTTACAAAAGAAAGAAAGCAACACCAAAATGGACAATCCGCCTGATCAACCTGAAGAAGTCCAAAAGGCTCAGATTGATGGGATAATATATGCCATACCCCACCCAAGGTCCAGAACTCATCCGGTTTGGATTTATGAACAGTCATCTTCACTCCCCAACCAAGTGGGCAAGGAGAATTCCTCTTACCCTTGGAATTATGGAGAGAACGTGGAACACTGTTCAACCAATGGTCTAAGATGGAAATGCATTGCTTTCGGATTTACGAGGAGATGGTGGACCCCCTGTATGAACAACCTAAGACTTGACAGTGTTCATAAGAGGGTCCAAGCACACCCCAGTAGATAGCTAAGCATCAAATCTGGACTGGTTTTACGAGTAGGCTCCTGTGTAGGTTGGTCCTGCTCCTACTGATACCTGGGAAAACTTCCAGGGACTCGGGTAGGAGGGTCTCCAACTCTGAGAGTGAAGAAAACTCAACACTCTGAAGGAAAATCCTCTGTCCACCACCCCAGCGACAAGGAACTGGGGTGGTAACGACTCCCTAGTTCCACTAATAGAATTTAGGGGGGGACATGTGCATGGTGGGAAGTCCCGAGGAACAGGCCTCCGGAGACAGTGCAACAGGTGAACCACGTTCCCTAAGTTTTAAAAGCAAACTGATCTCAATAGATGCAGCTCAAAGATCAGCATGGACTGGCAAAATCCCCTTTAGCTTTACTCATGATAGTTCATGAGTAGCAGTCCATTGGAGTTGTAGTGTGAGATAATACTACCATCCAGAATTGTGTCTAGATGGTCGTATGGAACACCTCATCTCAACAGAGCCTGTTGCAACCATGAACCGATATAAAGGTTGCTAGTGTGGATTTGAAAAAATACAAGTACACCTGAATGGGCAACACTCGCCACTGAGTGGGATCCAAAAGAAAGAAAGATGGACCCTAGAAGAAATAAGAAAAAATTTAAATCAGGTAAGAAAGATACTCACCTCCTTGTTAAAATCTAGCAGAGGAAGTCAACACAGTCACAGGGGGAAAGTGAAATCCCATGGAAGAGGAAACTGCCAGATCATGAAGGTAATGAGATAAGAAAGTGTCAGGAGAAGTCCACATACCAGCCTGCAAAATATCCTCCAGAGAACAGTTCAGACGAGCAGCCAATGACATCAATAGATGCCGAATCTGGCGAGAAGTGACGTGGAGCATATTGCAATCGTTAACAGATAAGCCCGAATAGGCTAAATGAATAAAAAGCCAATTCCTCTGGCCCCTGAAAGGTTCTGTATGAGCCATATAACATCTAAGGGCTTTGATTGGCACAACAGAAGATCCGGGTCTGATCAATGGTAAAGATGAGAAATGCCAGGTAAATTAATAGGAGAAAAGGATTTATTCCCTTCTCTGGCAGTGAGAGTTTCCAATAGAAAGGATCTGTCTGGACAGAGCAACACATAGATGGAATGATAGAGAGTCCAATGAACATAGATGGCAAATAAATCAGAACGGCAGTGTCCGGAAGCTAACAACAATAAAAAATTACAACTTGACGAAAAGGTGATGGCTTTCTAATTAAGCTGTGTGTGGGTTTAAAAAAATCTGAATTCTGTTTAGAGCAATGACCTAGTCAACAGACTTCAACATTTCCAGTAAAACTCCAATTTCCCCTTTAAGCCAATTACATACAACTGTCAGATTTATGTAGCTTGGAATGTGCTCTTTCTATTGGTTATAAACATGTACTTAAGAGAAGTAGGCATGAAGTTTCAAAAGAATGGAGCAGTGGGAAGAGCTACTTTGGTAGATTTACTAAATATATTGATATCTCATCAAATCAAAAGGTGGGATATTCTTATTTCATATTCCAGCTTGTCAATTTTTGAAATTTGAGTATCTAATTTATTAACCACTACAGATGTTGTATGGTAGGTGTAACACAATATAAACTGACCAATAAGAATAGAGGACATACAATGTGAAACACAAAAATGTATATTTAGCATTGTGTTTTTAATATTTTCTTTTGAAGTAAGAAATTAAAATATACATATTAAAATTTGAATTATTAACTATGTTTTATGCCAATTTTAGACATACATTGACAATAGAGTTGTTTAATTAAATTTTGAAAATAACTAAAACATAGTGTAGTGAGAGTGTTAAGGTATAAGATCTTTATATATCCAATAAATGTGACAAAAACATAAAAGTAAAAAGAAAATTGCTTAAGCTGGTTAGGGAGATAAAAGATGACAAAAATTATTTGGTCAAACCTATGTTTTATCTAGTGTTTAAGTCAAAAAATTTCAAAATGTATGTATTTAGTGTTTCTAATGAAAATTTGTATGCTATCAACTACATCTACAATGAACAGTTATAAGAACATTTGTTCATATACCACCTTGTCAATCACTGCTTTTCCTAGAGCTTGCAGAAGTTCATTTGTTTTTTCTGCTTCATGACCTGCAACAATTTTAGATGGACGGACAGACAAGGGTTCTCCAGTTACCATTACTATGAAAGAAAAACATGTATCTAATATTAAACTTTGAAAGCATTAAGATTTAGCTTTTACAGACATATATTAAGCATATACAAATGCAACCATTAGTAATCTTGAGGTTAACTGCCTCCTCAGAATTGAAATTACAAGAATTTTTGAACTGGACAACCTGCCTGATGAACTGGTGTTTGTATACTGTTTTGATTTCTTTCTGTGTATCTCCATTGATATGAATGAGAGTTTACGCTAAGGTACGAATCACACCCCCACTCCCATATTATTTGGAGTAAATACAGAACTGAATAAAATACATGGAAATGGATCTAAATGTCATATAATTACCAGTTCTCTCAGCACATTGTCCATTTCAACTACTTTCACATGTTCAGTCTTTGTCTTTTAAACAACAAGTCATTTTTTTGTTATAACAATATTATATAATATTTGTTGACTATGCAAGATATTATAATTTTAATAAAGAGCAGACTTTTAGCTTCCTCTTTCATAGGATTTAATCCCATGTACGCTTTTTAATAAAAACAAAAAGAAATTAAGCATAAATTTAGACTACTACTCAAAATTTGCTTCCAAAATTAAGAGATCTGAAACTGGTAAAAAAGAAACATCTCATTTTGTGACCAATAATATAATTAGTATTAATGTTATTGTACATCCTATAACAGAATAAATGTTTATTGTAATATATACATGTACTTCAAGATAGAAATATGTAACACTAATTTAACATACACACACATATTATCCACATAAATCCAAGAGTAATAACTGCTTTTCCTTCCTGTGGATAAACTCACATTTGAGCTTTTTCTATATTTCACTTTTAACTATTGTAACTGTATATTGACTCTGATACCATTCTCCTTACTACTATCATAGATTGTTGCAGAAAATACTTAACTTGAATTTGAGTGTAAAAACACATACATCACTAGTATTGTTAATTCCACTGTTTGTGGTTCAATGATTTGGTTTCCTCTTCTCAATAACAGTTTACAAGTAGTTACATGTCTACTGAAACTACTTTATTCTGTTGTGTATATTACTGTTATTGAGGTAACATTCACATCTGTATTTACAACTAGATCTGTACTTCACTGTCACCTGTTTCATACAAAATAAACCCAGAGATACTCAACATCATTCATGGACAGTTTTAGTTTTCTACCTCAATTGGTTCTATCAACAGTGCCAGTTTAAAGTACCCTCTTGCTACAGCACCTAGTGAAGCATGGAGTCTTGTTACTATTTTTTAAATGGAGTAACCTTAAACACCCAAAATTTTTATCTTTACATGCCTGTCATGGTCTTGCAGTGGGCACTGGCAGAGACAGAATAGATGGGTTGAAAACTTTCAAATATGAAAAACTGAAATGTACATACATTTATTGGGAAATCCACACTGACAAACAAGGAAATATGCAATCATAATATAAAATATCTGAGGAAAGTCAGAAAATTAAAAAAATGTAGAAGGCAAAATAGTATCTTAATACATGTAAGAAATGAATAAACTAACATCTCAGAAATACTTTAACTAAAAACAAAAGACCAGTCACAAATGCAGAGAGTTAAACAAATATAGACATTTTTATAGATAAGCAACAAATTTTTATAAGCAAAAAAAGCAAATAAAAATGAAAAAATAAAGCATCTACTCTTTGATATTAATTTTGTATTCAAAGACGTTTTCCTAAATATATATGTTAAAACAAAGCACTGCATACATTTTTATGCAGAATTTTTTTGAGCTCACAGTGTGTATTAAATTAACAGTTTACTTGATTATCAGTTATAAAGAAACATTTACATGTTTGGGTCTGGACTAAATGTAACTAGTCTCTTTTAAGTTTTAAACCATGAAACATACCTGTTTTTTAATGCTGTAATAAGAAAAGATGTGTAAGCTATCTAATTAGCTAAGCCACTTTCAAGTGATGAAAAGTTGTAATAAGTAATACTAAGTATGATATAATGAACAATGACAAAGGTCAGAGAAGTATTAAACACTACATAATTTAAGGAACATATATGTATATTGTAGCAAATAATTGTTTTATAATCAGAAACCTTATTGTTCTATTTAACTAGGACAAACATACAGCCACTTCTACCAAAGAAAATAATGCAAAATATATCAAATAAGATAATTTACTATACTTTGCCTCCTTAACACCCAAAGCCAGTCATATGGAAAAAGCTTAGAAATGGTGGAAAAAGCAGATGTTTGATGTTTGTTATTAAGCACAAAGCTACACCAAGGGTACCTGTACTCTTCCCACCATGGGTATCGAAACCCGGTTTCTAGCTGTATAAGTCCGCAGACATACTGCTGTGCCACTGGGGGGCAGAACTGCACAAAATCCAAAATTTGTACAGACAAGTTTTGTTTTCTGAATATCGGTTAAGAATGTCGAAAAATAAATAAATACAGTCAGAGCATGCCTTAACATTATTGTGATAAAAAAGAATCTCATTTATTTTTGGCGGCATTATTTTATTTGTTCCAGATTACATTCTCATACATCCACAATTTAATTTTATTATTTACTTTTCATGTTTACAGCCATATCTTTTCTTCTATTAACATTCCCAAGTCAATGAGCATCAACTTTTGATGTTTTTGTTTCAATCTGGTAGCATGTAATTTTTTAACCAATTACTATTATAAATTTTTTATAGAATCTTTACTTTAATTCATCAAAATATGTTTCAAAACTATGCAGTATCTTAATTACTATCAGTTTTAAACTATATGGTAAAAAAGTAACAAAATATCAACTATACCTCATAAAGATAGCATTTTAATCATACCAAACATATGACAAATATTTCATGACTTCATAACTACCTTCTTTTCAATTTATGGGAATCTCCAATAAATTTAATATTACAATTACAACAAACTGCCTAACTACTAAATAAAATAAGGGCAAGAGCAGTCCATAAACATCTAGTTTCAAATTGTTTAAAGTGCTCAGATTTTCAAAGAAAACATCAGGATATGTTGTGTATATGTTATTCACAATTACATACAGTATTAAAATGTAAACTCACCAACTACGTCAATTGTTTTCTGCAGAAAATCCATTTTGCTTTCCTTGTCCTATAAATAATTAAATTTCAATAACATTATGATTTAAACAGAACACAGTTAATGTACAAAACTTTACAGGTTCAAACTTGTATATACTCAATATTGTATTTTTCATTGCACCAAGTATTTACATTTTATATGAAGAACTATTAGTAAACTAAGGAAACTTAATGCTTTATGTTTCCACAGCTAACAGAAGTTGGGAACATCAAGAAACGTTTAAGTTTATCCTGAAAATATACTTTTGTGTTAATAATATTTTATAAGTTAGTTAATCATTTCTTCATGGATTTCAAAGCATTTTAAACTTTCTGCTTTATAGTACACAAACAAAAGGATTATGGAGATTCTCTATCCAAACCTATATGCAACTTATATTTACAGATATTTTATCAGTACAAATGACTTAAGCTCCAGAAAAACTTTATTTAATCAATGTTTTTTACTTATGCCTTTTTCTGGATAAAGCATTTTATAGCAATTAGCTACTAATTATTTTTTCAATCACACAGCAAACTGCATCCAATTGATCTAGTCAGACCTATCACATGATGAATTATGTTGTACTACATTACATTGAATACATTAAACTTGTTTATGCTTTACAGGTGTAGTCAAAATCATAGATTAGCAACAGGAAACTTTTATTCTTAGAACTAATCATTCAGAGACCATGATAGAGCTGGGCAATTAGTGAAATTTTAATAGTGAGGCTCATTAATCAATTACATTCAACTAATTGACTATTCTTACAAGTTTACTACAAAACAAAATAAAAAAGATTATTCTCACATAACATGGCAAAAACAAAATTACTAAACTTTTGGCAAAAATATTTTTAAACAGTCTCAACATTTACTATTTGGCAAGTTGCTAATGTTAAAACAACCACACAGTCACAGTTTTGTTTGTTTTTAGAATAAGAATGATCTTTCCAATGATCTGTGTAATTCAAATAAAGAAAACATTTTATTATCACAGGTAAAAGTAACAATGTTTTAATTTAAAACACATCACAGTTGCAATTAGAAATTAAGCAGTCAGTTAGCTAATTTATCTATGTATGTTGTTTGAATATCACAAATGTAAAAATAATATTCAATAAATAAGGATTTGAGTCATCAAAATATTTTGTCATCACCTATCATACTCACTAAGCCTAATTCAATCTTACTTGATGTCTTATCACAAACGAAAGTTTCTGTAGCTTTCAAACAGCTATAACTTAACACACAAACTTTCACTCAGAATAGAAATATTCCCATGAAACCATACGTTACTGCTCAAACCACTATATTTAGTATACTATGACATGGAAAGTCTAATTCTCACTCTATATTCAAATACAATTAAACTTTATAGCTTTTTTCAAAGATGTTTCATTAGTAAGTGATTAAACCACTTGATTTGATGTCATAAAAAGACAAGGGAAGTGTTTGAAAACAAGAAATGGATAATACATTCTTATTAAGTGACAGGTTCTTGATAAAAGTAGTTATTCTATGAGAAGGGCAGACCAATTCTAGAAAAAACTACAAATATGTTGTTTATGGGCAAAACTAATTAAAGCTGTGTAAAAATGTAAATTTTAACATTTATTTTCACTTTCTTCATGAAGTAACTAAATAAATGTTGGAAAATAACAAAATGTTTTTCATTTCAAAAAAATGAAACAGAGTTAGAATGAAAATATAAGACTGAATTTGAAATTTCTGTAAAAAGAAAATGTAAAACCAGGGAAAACCCTGTTTTCAGGTTCAACAATTTATGATTAAGTTATTTTCTCAATCCTATACTGATGTATATGAAAATGTATCATACATGCCAAGTAGTAAAACCAGCAAAAAGTACAATTAATAGCATTCCTTGGGTTTCTAACAACAACTTTCAACAAGACTACTTTACTAAAACTACTGAATTTTTGTTGATGAAAATAAACATATTATTTTGTTACAATTTCAAATAACTTTTTTATAAAAAGTTAATAAACTCTTCTATAACACTAAAAAAAATTATAAAAAAACTATTATATTTTGGCCATAAGCCTAGATTAAGGGTCAATTTAGTTAAATATTGTTGGAAATGAAATTATTTTTTCAAACATGCATTAATACACAAGATTTGACCAAGAAAACTGATGTTCATAGAAAAAATAAAGAAATATCAGAGCTGGCTATATGAAGCACTTATTTTAAACATTTTTCAAGCATATAAAACAAATTATGAAATGTAAAACCTTTCTGGGGATTAACTTTTTTAATGATGTTTGCTAATCTTTTGTGTGCCACGTTATCAAGAACTTTTTGATAACCTAAATACATGAAGTTCCCCCCCTTTTCCTTCTTCCAGATAACAATTAACATCCTTGATAAAAGATAACAAATTAGGAACACAAAAGTTTCTTTTGGTTGATCCATGTTTAACTTTATTTATGACATCAGACTTAACTAAATCATTGTAAACTTTATCAATCTCTAGAATTTTACAAACAACAGACGTAAGACTAACTGGCCTATAAAATTTCGAAAACGACTCATATCACTTCTTTAGAAATTGGAGTAAAATAAGTATGTCTGCAATTCTTAGGCACTTAATCACCCCCTACTGATTTACCAAAAACAAAAGAAAGAGGGTTGAATATCTGATCTCTGACCTCCTTTAAAACCCAGAGAAAAACCTTTTCTGGCCTTGGTGTTTTACCCATTTTTGATTTCTCAATTCTTCTACTTATCACTAAGGGAGTAATATCTACATGATTTAGGTCAACTCTAATATTTCCTACAGAATGCTCAGGGTCAGGAATACTGTTATCTTCTCTTGCAAAGTCAGAGAAGAATAAAATGTGTAAAAGCTCAGTCATCTCAAATGATATGCACAAATAAAGCAATTATGCAAGTATGTGTAAACTACAGAATCAGAATTCCTGGATTAAATACAAGCTATGAACAAATAAACATAAACAAATCTTCCTGTTCAGATCCTTTCTAAACATACATAGGTGACTGACACCAATGGTTCTCAACCTTTTGAGTTTTGTGGTCTCCTTAAATGTGAACAGTCACCAGAGACCCTGAACCACCCCAACAGCAGTTTCTAAATTAATTCAGCATGCATTAGGTGAAAACAATTAAGAATACTAGTGGCATGATTCACTAATACTATAAGAGAATCAACACATGAGAAGGTGACAAAGTGTACTGCGAGTCAAGAATTGCCATACTTTTTCACAACAACTGCCTTAGCTGCAACCAAATGAGATGAAGCTTTGGTCTTCTTACTCCCAATTCCTGATACATAGTCATGGAGTTTAAATGGGGCCCACAAAAGTGGAATGGCAGTGGCAAGTGAAAAAATCTTAATCACAATTATAGTAACCTTTTGTATTCAGAACCGTGCTATATAAATGACTTAAATGCATGTGTATCATGTGTTTATCAAAACATGACAGTAAGAATTTGCAAATTTCCTTCTTAAATGTGTACTCAACTTTTTTGAGTGTTTTCTATGTTTACAAGCAAAACTGCAACACTAATCAACAATTTGCTAGTTTGCTAACATGAATTTCAAGCCCTGACATTTGTCTCTTGATGACCTAAGAAGGCATTAATTGGTTTCTGTCATCTACTTCTAAATTTTATTATGACATGTCACAGACAAACCAATAAGCCAATTCAGAGCAACCCAATCTGTACATGTAGTTATTTGCACCAATTATTTTTACACAGTAAAGGTTTCAATAATTCTAAATAATAATTAAAAAGTAAAACATTACACAATTTCATAAGCATTATAACTCTATCAAAAACAGAGTTCTAGTGATCAAGTTTGGGTCTAGCCCTCGAAAATACACATATAACTCCTAATATTCAAGCTTTCAATTCTAATCTTATCATTCCTCAATTACAACAGACTACCTATAGGCAAACAACAGAAATGTTAATGAAGTACATTACACATTTTTAACAGCACATCTGCAAAAAATTCTACAAGTTTACAACTCTATCAGAAACATAGTACTTCTAAAGAGCAAGTCTGAATATCTGCTTTCAAAACTTAAAGGAATTACCTCTACATTTATTCTTCAAGAGCTCCTTTCATTATACTACAATTTAGTGTACTTAATACATGAAACGAGTCATCTGTTCTTCTTCTAGGTTACTTATAACATAACTTAGATGTTTTAAACAAAATCTCATTATAACGGTAGACCATTTTTGCACTCTTCCAGTTATTTTACAGAAAGCATTGTACATGTAAGCAAACCAACTTAACCTACACTATACTCGTTCACTTGAATAAAAGTAAGAACTCATATAAAAAAAAATCAAATTCAATACAAAACACAAAGTGGATAGATTTAATTTACAAATATGTTTGCTTTGCACAATTTCTGGACTTTGGTGGAAACCAGTGGATCAACAGGATAAAAGCTTTTGATATTTTTGTGCTATTTTTTTAAGACAACAAGATAAGAGAACACAAGTTTAATATTTATAAATGACAGGCTATACTCCAGTTAAAAGTTTTTTTGAAAGACTGACTAGTTTATAGAATGAGCTGCTATTGATAGTGGTTGAGACCAGTGTTTAGAAGTATTTAAAAGAAGTGACCAGTTCACAGTTACCTAGCTTTGCCACAATGTAATGTTTGAGACTCTTAACGGTTACATAATCTTTGGTGATTCATGTGCTTCTTTACAGTTATTTTTTCAAAAGGGAGACTGGCTTATGGAATGAGTTGCCACCGGCAGTAACTGAGACCAGTATTTAAAAGAAGAACTGACCAATTCATGGTTACCTGGCAGTACCATAATGTGAATTTTGAGACACCTAACGGTTATAATCTCTGACATCTCACATGCTTCTAAACAATTAACAATGGAACAAAAGTTTTAAAAAAAGCACTGATAAAATGATCTCATGGCCTGACTTTGATATCAAATATTAAACAAGAAAATATACTGCATTATTTAAAAAAAAAGATAAATGTAACGACTACAAGTATTTTGTGGAAGGATACATGACAAAAAACCAAAAACAATTGTATCATCTATAGGTGTTTTTAATGTTAAGGACAGAAAGTAAAAATTATACTTGTATATCTTCAAATGCCAGTTCTAAATCACAATGAACAGATATATATAACTGAACCCAATATCACTAATATTTAAAAAATAAGTGAAGTGAAAGTAAGTGAAAATTGTAGAGAAAACACCATAAGTGCCTTTTCTGAGCTGGCAAAGCATGATTATACTTGTTTATACTTGTCAAAGGACATTATTAATAATATATGTCATAACTATTGTAACAGACCTAGAATTACTAACGGATTATATAGGATCCACTCAGAAATTGTATTACACAATATAGCCAAAACAGTTGGTATAAAACCTGCTTATAACAAAAACTAGTTATCATGAATTTGGAGTGTAATTCTTAGAGTACTTTACAGTCACTTAATAATTCTTTACTTCTTAATATTAACAGAACATTGTAAATTACCAGCTACCGTATTTTTCGGAATATAAGATGCACCTGTGTATAAGAAGCACCCTTATTTGGAAGACAAAGTTTTGGGAGGGAAAAAAGCTACAGTCACATTGGAAAGATTTTTATTGAACAAAAATTCAATTTGATACTTTAAAAATTAGTATATATTGTTCTAAACCCAAAAGAGCTCAAAATAACAAAACAAAAAATTAACCGTAAATCAAAAAAAGGTTTACTGTTATTTAGTTTCGTTCAAAACCTACAAAATCTTCATTGCTTTC